ACTCCTTTGTTGCCTTGGCCTTGTGTTTTGGGTCATTGTTATGCTGGAACACCCATCCACTACCCATTTTCAATGCCCTGGCTGAGGGAAGAAGGTTCTCCTCACCCAAAGATTTGACGGTACATTGCCCCGTCCATCGTCCCCTTTGATGCGGTAACAGTTGTCCTGTCCCCTTAGCAGGTTGGGCTTATTTGTGTAACACCCCAAAGCAGAATGTTTCCACCACCATGTTTGAAGGTTGGGATGGTGTTCTTTGGGTCATATGCAGCATTCCTCCTCCTCCAAACATGCGAATTTTACCCCGGGGGGGGGGGTGGGGGTGGGGGGGTGGGGGGGGGGGGGGTGTTGGGGGGGTGGGGGGGGGGGGGGGGGGGTTTGGGGGGGGGGGGGGGGGGGGGGGTGGGGGGGGGGTGGGGGGGGGGGGGGGGGGGGGGGGGGGGGGGGGGGGGGGGGGGGGGGGGGGGGTGGGGGGGGGGGGGGGGGGGGGGGGGGGTGGGGGGGGGGGGGGGGGGGGGGGGGGGGGGGGTGGGGGGGGGGGGGGTTTGTGGGGGGGGGGGGGGGGGGGGGGTGGGGGGGTGGGGGGGGGGGGGGGGGGGGGGGGGGGGGGGGTTTGGGGGGGGGGGGGGGGTGGGGGGGGGGGGGGGGGGGGGGGTGGGGGGGGTGGGTGGGGGGGTGGGGGGGGGGGGGGGGGGGGGGGGGGGGGGGGGGGGGGGGGGGGGGGGGGGGGGGGGGGGGGGGGGGGGGTGGGGGGGGGAGGGGGGGGGGGGGGGTGATAGGTGATCAAATACTTATTTCCCTCATGAACATGCAAATCAGTGCATAATTTGTTAGACATGCATTTCTTTTGAATTTTTTGTTGCTATTCTGTCTCTGTGTTACAATACACCTACCAATTGATTTTTAGGCTGATCATTTCTTTGTGAGTGGGCAAACATTCAAAATCAGCAGGGGATCAAATACTTATTTCCTTCACTATGGGTAGAGAAAGAAACAAAACTTTGGATAGTAACTTTCTTGCTTTCCGTGTCTCTGCTGCTGGTTAAAATTTGCCCTCTGTGTTTGTCCAGACAAAGGGTGTTGGCAAACCAAACATTTTACAGTTGTTACCAGAATAAAATGTGAGAAGAACTGTTACATTGGGAACACTTGTTCTGATGCCAACTGTCTATGAAAAGATTTCCCCTCACTTTAGAGAGATTTTCTCTCACCTCCTTCCTGCTCCACTGGAGGAAAATCCCCCTAACAGGACACGGACTGTAAAAAAAACAAAATTATAAAACAATTGAATTGTTCATTCTTTATCCTAAACCATTAAAAAAAACACAAAAAACTGTCATCAATACCCTTTAATACCCATCTTCTCCTATCTACATACAGTAACTCAAGTAAAGGCTATGTGTACGTACATGTGTATACCTATAATATATACAGTATTTATTGCATACATACTTTAGAATATGTAGTTTTTAAAGTAGCAATATAATTACTAAATTAAGAAAGTGGTGTTTCTTTAACTCAGTTTATGTATAATCCCATTTATATACATTTATCTGGCAATGCATTTTCATTATTTTTAGTACTATTTCTTTGCTTCCTAAATATGAATGCTCTAAACCAGCAGCAAAAAAACAGACACCTCCATAAATCTAAATATCATTTGCATTCATAGATAAAAATAATTTACAGGACTTACTGCGGGATAATTTATAGAAATGATTGTACAACAATGGGACAGTTACCATAGAAACACCCCGTGTAGAGCAGCGGGGGATAAAATCAAGGTACAAATGCTAATAGAGGTATATAATTGCTTGATCAAGATCCAACTGCAAGTGATCACATTGAGATAGAGTGGACCTACACACTGCATAAATCAGGGAATAATTAGCATGAAACAACGGTTATAGGAGGTTACAGTTACAAAAACCTTATATAAGTTATACATAAATAAATACAAAATGTAGTAAAAATCAAATGGGTTGGATTTTGGTTCAGTGACTTGGCCATTAGTGAAAAGGGAAACTGGGTGATGAGTAGTCTTTGATTAATTATAAGAATAGAAATACACCAGTTTCATTTTGGGAGTAGTGATTGCTTGTGTTGCCTGCTGCGATATATTCTCACAAGCTCTATAGGGGATGTCTTAATAATTTACTATTTCAGGTGAGGATTTTACATTTATACTGTTGAACTTTTGTGGAGAGAGCCATTGTGAAATGAAAGATCTGTTATGGTTGTCTTATTCAGTAGTGCTTAAATTTTTCAAGAGAATTAAAGCGGTTTCCAGTTAAAATAAAAAGCTAGAGATGTAAAGCTAATGGAACGTCTACAAGCAGAGGGAACGTTCTTGACAAACAACTACTGCAATCTTTGGAACCTTAGGTGGTCTTAAAGCTCTTGTAAAAAGGAGATACACAGGAATTTTTTTTATTTTTTTATTTTGTCTTTATTTTAAATTTTCAACATACATTGCAATCAGAAAGTGGTACCACAGTCACATATTTGTAGTCATGAAATACAAAAAGAGGCTTGGTACATGAATATCATACATAGGGGATTGCCAAGCTGTTACATAAGAGTTATGCCAGGTTATGAAATCAGTGGTGTCTGCGAGCAAAATGTTTACAACGTGAAAGAGTTAAAGTGATCGTAAAGGTTATTTTTTTAAAAATAACAAACATGTCATGTTTACCTGCTCTTTGCACAGAGCAGCCCAATCCTCCTCTTCTGGGGTCCCCCACCAGTGCCCCTAGCTACTCCTGCCTACTGAGTAGCCACTTGCTAGGGAAAGTACTTGTGCATGTTTGAGTCCAATGAGGAGGGAGAAAGAGAGAGCAGCTCCGTATGTATTGGGGTGGGGCAGAAAATGCATTAAGGTAAAAAAACCTTTAGCCTTTACAACCATTTTGAGGTGCGTTTTGATCAGATATTGAAGGTCATGACCTAGAGTAGTATGTGGGGTTGCATTTTAGTACAGTGGGACAAGAGTAGGAAGATTAGGAAATAAGGGAGAAAAGTAGGGGCAAAATGGAGAGGATACACAGGAAAGATCACTAGAGGATGGTGAAGGCAGACTATTACCCTGCATCTCCAAACAGTAGTGGCTGGCCTTCAACTGTACAAGTAAATACAAGGGCAATTTTCTGTGAACTTAGGTAGCTTTGCAACATGGTGCATATGGGATCTAAAGTGGAACTCCAGCCAAGCTAAAAAGTCACTAAGACAGGAATTAATGGTAATCTCAGCATTGACAGTTGTTACCAAAAGAGAAGTGGGAAGATTTAAACAAAATGGCATCCATCTCCACACAGACACTGACTCCCTGTTGCATGAATGTGAATTAAATGAGTAAAAGATGGCTTCAGCTCCTGTTCTCTACCTTTTGGAGGACATTTCAGATGCATTCAGATTGGATCACATGTGAATCCGATTGAATCAGAAGATTGGTCAGAACGTAACAAGGCACAGTGGCTCTAGTGAGGCAGCTCTTGACAAAACAGGTACCCCTTAAACAGGGGGCTCCCACTTTGAAGATTCATGTTTACAAAATCAAATGGTAGCGCCAAACAGTTTGAGAGTCCAAAAACATTTTATTTATTTATTTTGTTGGTCGACAATGAATAACACAGAACAGCCAATGCATCTTGGGGACTCAGAGATCTCCCCCTTTTTCAGGACTTAAACATAATGGTCAGTAAAAGAGGCTCAAAGCAGGCACAAATCACCACAAGTATATTGTTTGCATAGGGTATAATCAGACCTCAATGCACTGTTTAATTGGGCAACTATGTGGCAAAAGAGGTTTAATGTTGAGAAATATAAAGTTTTGCTCTTAGGGGCTAAGAATATAAATATATAAAGGGTGCGGTGCTCAAGCAATAATCAATACAATAAAATAAAAACTATATAAAATCCATAAAGTGACTTGTGACAAGGTGCCAACACATAAAGTGACTTCAGTGATATCATATATTCCGTCACTGTAGAAGTGACTCCTGGTGACCAATAATGATGAAAATAGATAGTCCAAATGTGAGTATAAGAGATCGAATTATCTCCAGCAATAGGTGCTCCGTTCAAACCAGACGGTGAGGTGACCGGTATATATGATAAGGCTGTGCACTCACCAGATGCACAGTTAATCTGCGCATGTAGAGACAATGCTCCTGTAGGGGACGCTCCAGGCTCCCGTAATAAATTTGGTCTGGTCAGGTATTCCTCTCACTGCTCTCCTCAGCTGGCAATGTGGCCTCACTTCCTCCTCATTAAAGCTCTGTGGGTTGATGATGACTCGCAAAGAGCCCAGAAAAAGAGGAGGCCAATAGTGTGATACTGTTTAAGCATATGCACTTTTATTCCATACAAAGGCAGTGGTACAGGGAAAAAAAACACAATTGCACTGACCGTGTGATGATGACCAAAATGGCCGCCGGGAGCCACGTGGTGCCGGTGGCGTATTGTCACAACACTGTTGTTCCTCACTGACGCGTTTCGTGCTAACCGCACATAATCATAGGGGGAAGCACTGAAAGCTGAATGTAAAAGAAAGAATTAACAGCAATTAAAAAAAACATTTAAAAAACAGTGTGGGGTCCCCCCTCCATCCATACCAAGCCTTTCGGGTCTGGTATGGATTTTGAGGGGAAACAAATGCAACCACCACATCGAAGATTCAGTAAGCTGCAATATATTGCATTTTTGCTTTTGAGTTTAGAAACACTTTGATGATTTAGGCCTCTGAGTCTCTATATATACTCCATAAAACCCCTATTTGGATACCCTTGAAAGGTTTAAACAAATAGACTCTTTATTTAGAGATCTAATTTGGCAAAAAAGTATTTCAATAATTTACCATTGCAGCTTCCCAAGGGTGCAGAAGGACTAATGATCCCAAATGTTGAATACTGCTTCTTCGCCTCTCAGAATCAACATACACTATATTGCCAAAAGTATTGGGACACCCCTCCAAATCATTGGATTCAGGTGTTCCAATCACCTCCATGGCCACAGATGTATAAAAGCAAGCACCTAGGCATGCAGACTGCTTCTACAAACATTTGTGAAAGAATGGGTCGCTCTCAGGAGCTCAGTGCATTCAAGCGTTTTACAGTGATAGGTTGCCACCTGTGCAATAGGTTCATCCGTGAAATTTCCTTGCTAATAAATATTCCACAGTCAACTTTTAGTGGTATTATAACAAAGTGGAAGCAACTGGGAACAACAGCAACTCAGCCACAAAGTGGTAGACCACATGAAATGACAGAGCGAGATCAGTGCATGCTGAAGCATGCTCAGAAGTCACCAACTGTCTGTAGAGTCAATAGCTAAAGACTTCCAAACTTTGTGTGGCCTTCAGGTTAGCACAACAGTGCGTAGAGAGCTTCATGGAATGGGTTTCCATGACAGAGCAGCTGCATCCGAGGCTTACATCACCAAGTGCAATGCAAAGCGTCAGACGCAGTGATGTAAAGCACACTGCCACTGGACTCTAGAGCAGTGGAGATGTGTTCTCTGGAGTGACGAATCACGCTTCTCTATCTGGCAATCTGATGGACATGTCTGGGTTTGGCGGTTGCCAGAAGAATGGAGCTTGCCTAACTGCATTGTGCCAAGTGTAAAGTTTGGTGGATGGTGAATTATGGTGTGGGGTTGTTTTTCAGGGGTTGGGCTTGGCCCCCTAGTTCCAGTGAAGGGAACTCTTAATGTGTCAGTATACCACGACTTTTTGACAATTGTAAATTGTAAGTGTAAAGGCCAGCATCCAAATACGTTTGGCAATATAGTGTATGTCAATTAGGGTGAGTTTAGATCTCGCTTACCCTATACAGAAAATTGTCAAATCGTTTCCTAATGATTCCTTAATGTCGAAACGCAAGTACCGTGAACTCCAAAATCTGAAGGGCTTAGAGTTTTGAAATAAGCATAACTTGGTAAATGTGTGCAGTAAATCTATAAGAACTGGATTCTTAAAAAATGGCAAACTCTGCAAAAGGAATATGCGATTCCAAAAATATTTTTTTTCTGCACCTACAGTTATGCCATGCCTTTCTGGCACAATCTGAACTTTGCAAGTAGACATACTGTATTTTAGCACTCCTTTATTGACACAGAGCCAGCATGGAGAATGAAAAAGTCCAAACTGTACAGTATATAAAACCCTAGCACTTCGCCATGTACAGAGTACTTCCCTACCATGTAGGAAAGGCTTAGAAAAAGATATAGGACAATTGCTTAAGTCCCTGTCTTCTCCCACACACAAAACCTACTCAACTTTTTATTCTGAACAGAACCTACCGAATACCCTGTTATGTATAATATTATTATTATTATATAGTATTTATAAAGCGCCAATAGTTCACTCAGCGCTGTACATTACAAAGGGGAACAGAACATGTGACAGAACAATACCAATACAATGCAAAACATGAGGGGATTGAGGGCCCTGCTCTTTCCAGCTTACAATCTAGGAGGGAGGGGATAGTGGTACAGGAGGAGATAGCTGTGGGGGATGGAGTGGTAGGAAGAGTGGAGGTGGTCGCCAAGTTAGCAGGGGGTGGGGTAGGCTTCCCTGAAGAGATGGGTTTTCAGGGTGCGCCTAAAGGAGAGGAGAGTAGGTGATAATCTGATGGGTTGGGGCAGGGAGTTCCAGAGGATGGGTGACACCCTGGAGAAGTCCTGGAGGCGGGCATGGGAGGAGGAGACCAGGGAACTAGAGAGAAGGAGGTCTTGTGAGGAGTGGAATGTGCGTGCGTGCTGGGCGGTACTTGGATATTAGGTCAGTGATGTAGTTCGGGGCAGTATGGTGGACAGCTTTGTACGTCAGTGTTAGGATTTTGAATTTGATCCGTTGCGCAATCGGAAGCCAGTGGAGGGATTGGCAGAGGGGGGTGGAGAAAACGGAGCCCAACCCCTCTCAACCCCCACCTCACCCCCTCAGTCTCTGCCAGAATCACACACCCCACCGAGCGACACATCAGACTGGATGTCGCCCCACCTCCCCAAACCGAACCTCTCCAAAACCGAGTTTCCCGTCTTTCCCCCAGCCCGTGCAGACTCCACCTCCGCAATATAGATATAGAAATATCCTTAACTATTTAGGTGTTGGAGGTACATATTTAACACTATTAACAACCTGTTCAAATGAACCTACCTCAGTAACCTTAGCATATGCATTCTGCTTGGTAGATGAGAAAGATTATACAATGTACTACACTTTCTACTATTACCCAGCTGCTATTTATTGCATGGAAACTTATAGCTCAAAAATTGATATCCCCTACCCCTCCCACCTTTATTCTTTGAAAACAGTCTGTCAATAGTGGCATCCAAAAGCAAAAATGTACATACCAGCTCCTTTACAAGTATCCTTACAAATACTATTAAGTTAAAGTACAGTCAGGTCCATAAATATTGGGACATCGACACAATTCTAACATTTTTGGCTCTATACACCACCATTTACATCCAAATCAGGTGAACGGTGTAGGAATTACAACAGTTTGCATATGTGCCTCCCACTTGTTAAGGGACCAAACGTAATGGGACAATTGGCTTCTCAGCTGTTCCATGGCCAGGGGTGTGTTATTCCCTCATTATCCCAATTACAATGAGCAGATAAAAGGTCCAGAGTTCATTTCAAGTGTGCTATTTGCATTTGGAATCTGTTGCTGTCAACTCTCAAGATGAGATCCAAAGAGCTGTCACTATCAGTGAAGCAAGCCATCATTAGGCTGAAAAAAACAAAACAAACCCATCAGAGTGATAGCAAAAACATTGGGCGTGGCCAAAACAACTTTTTGGAACATTCTTAAAAAGAAGGAACGCACGGGTGAGCTCAGGAACACCAAAAGACCCGGAAAGACCACGGAAAACAACTGTGGTGGGTGACCGAAGAATTCTTTCCCTGGTGAAGAAAACACCCTTCACAACAGTTGGCCAGATCAAGAACACTCTCCAGGAGGTAGGTGTATGTGTGTCAAAGTCAACAATCAAGAGAAGACTTCACCAGAGTGAATACAGAGGGTTCACCACAAGATGTAAACCATTGGTGAGCCTGAAAAACAGGAGGAAGGCCAGATTAGAGTTTGCCAAACAACATCTAAAAAAGCCTTCACAGTTCTGGAACAACATCCTATGGACAGATGAGACCAAGATCAACTTGTACCAGAGTGATGGGAAGAGAAGAGTATGGAGAAAGAAAGGAACTGCTCATGATCCTAAGCATACCACCTCATCAGTGAAGCATGGTAGTGGTAGTGTCATGGCGTGGGCATGTATGGCTGCCAATGGAACTGGTTCTCTTGTATTTATTGATGATGTGACTGCTGACAAAAGCAGCCGGATGAATTGTGAAGTGTTTCGGGCAATATTATCTGCTCATATTCAGCCAAATGCTTCAGAACTCATTGGACGCCGCTTCACAGTGCAGATGGACAATGACCCAAAGCATACTGCAAAAGCAACCAAAGAGTTTTTTAAGGGAAAGAAGTGAAATTTTATGCAACGGCCAAGTCAATCACCTGACCTGAATCCGATTGAGCATGCATTTCACTTGCTGAAGACAAAACTGAAGGGAAAATGCCCCAAGAACAAGCAGGAACTGAAGACAGTTGCAGTAGAGGCCTGGCAGAGCATCACCAGGGATGAAACCCAGCTTCTGGTGATGTCTATACGTTCCAGACTTCAGGCTGTAATTGACTGCAAAGGATTAGCAATCAAGTATTAAAAAGTGAAAGTTTGATTTTTGATTATTCTCTCCCATTACTTTTAGTCCCTTAACAAGTGGGAGGCACATATGCAAACTGTTGTAATTCCTACACCGTTCACCTGATTTGGATGTAAATACCCTCAAATTAAAGCTGACAGTCTGCAGTTAAAGCACATCTTGTTCGTTTCATTTCAAATCCATTGTGGTGGTGTATAGAGCCAAAAATGTTAGAATTGTGTCGAAGTCCCAATATTTATGGACCTGACTGTATAACTAAAGACAATCCTTTTTTTTTTTTTGTTTCGAATAAAGTTGAGAGGAATTAGAACACTTGTCAGGTTTGTATTGCTGTGTGTGCCACCATTAGGGAGATTCACCCTCCCACCCTCACCCTACTTCTTTACAGTTATCATCGAATGGGGAAGAAAATCCCAAATTTTGGGTTGTCCTCAGAACAGTAACAGAGGAGAAATCTTCCAATGTGGACACTAGTTCTGGTGACCCTAATGACAATGACAGAGATCCCCTCATTTTGGAGGGATTTCCTTTCACTTCCTGTTTTGGGTTTGGGACTGCAAGTGAAGGGAAATCTTTCCAATGGGACACATATGACAAAGGACACCAGGGGTTATAACCCTTACTCTACAAAAATGAAAAAAAAAAAAACTATTGCCTTTAGTTCTACTTTAAATACCATCTAAAACACAGAGGCCTTTGGGTCAGAACACACACGGCTTGATAGGACAAAATTTAGACCAAAGGTATTTTATAGTAATAGTTGAAGAATATTGTCTCTGTACAATGCAAGTACTATAATAGAGAAACACAGTGTTATGCAAATTACAAAAACAACATTGCTGCTGCATAGGAGTATATCCAAAAAGGCATTCAACCACTATAATGTTTTTTTTCAATTCTTTTTAATTATTTGCTGTTTCAGTTGTAACAATTAATTGTTCAGTAAATGCCTAGTGGCCCCCACTGAGGCTTACAAAGTCCAGTGAATTGGATACTGCTGACTGGTGAGGGTGCAGGCTGGGGAAAGTTTTCTCCAGACTCAAAGCACACTGGGGACGACCATGATTAAGCTCCGGGGGCGTAGCGAAACATGTTGGGGGCATGGCTTGGATGAATCGAGCTGAGGCTGCTTTTACCTGCTAACCATTCGGGCCAGGCAAGATGTGTGGCAGTTGGACTATCTCTTCCTATTTCTACAGTGAAATTAATTATTCTGGTTTGATATGTTGGGGGGGGGGGGGGGGGGGGGAAATATTTCGGGTTTGTGGTATGTTTAGTTTAGATGTACATTGAACACATCATAATATGGGGAACCTGGGATCACCAGTCAGTCGCTGTGTTTTTGTTTTTTCAAAATCAAGCAA